CCAAGATGACAATGGACTATCATCTTTGTTCTAATGGTTTTAACTAGAAGCAATAAAGTTTGAATAGATAATTTGATTAAGATACAAATCATTTTTCACAAAACTGAATTATTTTGATGAATAATCAAATTTAACCCATGATGTACATTTGAACATAGCACATACACAATATTGACTTTGATTTACTTGACAACAGTGATCAGAAAAGATAGAATAACCATGCTTATCCTCACAATAGAACTATTGAATCATACAGAGACAAAATGACATTTTTCATCAATACTATCTGCTAATTTATGTTTGCAATTGACTATTGATCAAGGGGGAAACGGCGGATTTTTGGGATTGCCAATCCTTGAAAATCCATAAAAAATCCGTAAAATCCCAGAAATCTGTAAAAAATCCCTGAAATACAATTAAAATACGAAAATCCAGAAAAAATCCCAAAAATCCGGAAAAAATCCCTGAAATACAATAAAAATCCATGAAATACATTATTTAAGTCAGTCGCATATGACGAACATGTTGTTTGTTTGATATTGACGAAGTCATATTTTTGTATATTTCACTTAAAAAAGTTGTTTTTGTTAGATAAAATGTGTCTAAAACATAACAATCTTACAAGATATTCTGTAAGCTAGAATGTAAAACGCCTTGTGACAGTGTGTATAAAGACAAAAGAGCAAGGGGAAAAAGCGGATTTGGGATTTTATAGATTCTAAAATTCAAAAAAGATTTTTTTTTTGATTTTACGGGATTTTTAGATTTCTGAGATTTTCTTTTCGAACTTTTAAACTTCTCCTTTCTTGTCTATCATTCGAATGCCGTATTTCCTATTGTAAAACAACGTTCTATAACCACCAGATACATTATTTGGAATAATTTGGTTGCCGTCTCTCATTCACCACACTGGCATTCTGGAAGGATTTTGCCTAGGCATCTCGTCAAAGTGCATGTAAAAAGGTGTCGCAAAACGTTCAAAGTGTGCTACTTTTTAGGGCTATTCTATAGGGGTACCCATAGTTCCTCATGCCCTATCCTATGGGTCACTCATAAGTCCTCATGGACTATCTTATGGGGTACCCATAAGTCTCCAAGCGCTGTCCTATGGGGTGCCCATGAGTCCTCTTGCCCTATCCAACGGGACACCCATAGGTCCTCTTGCCCTATTTTATGGGTACCCATAAGTCCTCATGGCTTATCTTATGGAATACCCATAAGTGCTTATGGCCTATCCTATGCAGTTATCATAAGTCATCATGGCCTTTCGTATGAAGGTACTCATAGGTCCTCAAGCGCTTTCCTGTGGAGCTACCCATAAATCTTCAAGCGCTTTCCATGAGCAGCGCCCATAAGCTCCCAACGGCTATCGAGGTTTGGTATCGTTAACTTTTCAAGGACTGTCTTGCGGTAGTTCTGTTTACTCTTCAAGGGTTATCCCATGGAAGAGTGTCGGGTACTGCTGACTGTTCAGGAGATATCTAGCGTTAGTCGTCACAGGTTTTCAAGGGTTTTTAATCACAAGACCTGGCAGACAATAATAAGGATGCTACTCGTACGTCATCTAGCAGCTGAAGTTGAGTGTGGTACGGGACTAGTGTAAAGGTAATGTAAGAATCGTGTACCTGATTTTTCCTTAAAGAAGTAAAAGTGGACAGTTCTTCTTAGCTCAACATCATTGAATCACCTAAAGGAGTAGTTTTACTTCACAATTAGTATTACGTCGACGAGATTGCGTGTCACAAGTTTGGGTCAATTTTGAGTTACTCTTTTATCAAAGATTGGTTCAACGTTTGGTTCATGACACCTTCAGCTTCACGACTTCCGAGAGCTCAATTGAAGAGGTGCTAGAGAGTAGCATCTCATGTGAATGAGAGCTGGTTGATCATCTCTACCGCGGCAAACTGAACTGGGGCTCTCGCACACTTATAAGCGCCACTGTAAGACAGCCGTTGAGGATCTATGGGTACCGCCATAGAATAGGCCATGAGAACTTATAGTAGCTCCCATAGGATAGCCCTTGAAGACTTGTGGGTACCCTATAGGATAGGCTATGAGGATCTATGGGTACCCCCATAGGATAGCCCTTGAAGAATTATGGATACTCCTATAGGATAGCCCTTGAGGACCTATGGGTACCCCCATAGAACAGCAGTTAAGGACTTACGGGTACTCTCATAGGATAGCCATTGAGGACTTAAAACTGCCTATTTATGTTCGAAACACTTGAGAATATGATCGAAAAATATTGCTGAAAACTGCTTTCGATTTTGATTTTTCCGGTTTTTTGGGATTTTTTGGGATTTCTTGGGATTTTTTTGGATTTTTGGGATTTTTTTGGATTTTCTCGGAATTCAAATCCAAAATAATCCGCTTTTTCCCCCTTGTAGGTAGATAGTTTTTGTTCTTTCTTTTTCATTTTTTCTGATTTTTGTTGTTTTTCTTTGCTCTGTTTTTTTCAGTAAAATACGATAGACTAATGTCCTCTGAAGTCCCAGTTGGTGTGATAACAATCATAACAAGTGACGTGTCTAGGTAGCTGGCGATGACAGATTTATTTTTTACTATGACTCAACCTATTGTCTCTCATTATAAGATTCTGTGCAAAACCTCTGAAGTACGACAAAAATCCCGAAAATCCTGTAAAAATCCATGAAATCTCGTGAAAATCCAGAAATCCCACGAAAATCCCAAAATCTTCTGGAAATCTTCTGGCAATCCGCAAAATCCTAAAAATACGGAAAAAATCCTGAAAATCTCGAAAATACGCAATCCGCCGTTTCCCCCTTGCTATTGATAGTGCACATTTGACTGAAACAATCCTAAATAGAGTTGATGATTTTGAACAAATGAAATACTTCTCTATCAGATCAATATTGAATCATATTTCATCAACGTTCTATTACAATAACTGCTCCGAAGCAAGAATGATAAGAAGAGTCAGTCTTCCTCTCAATTATTCTTTTGTTTATCAAACAGAACAATATGTCAAAAAAAAACAACTAAGAATATTCTTAACGGATATCTTCTTTGATTCGATGTTTGAATACATTAGTAACTTTCTATATTACAGTTTATATGAATACTTTTTCATAAACATTTCAAGATAAAAGTACTAATTATTGTTAAAATAGTTCATTGAAGAAAACGATATTTATTATGATTTTATGATTGATATCTGCAATTGGGAAGAATAAAACATTTTTATCCTAGAAAATAAATCTTAGATAGACTTGTCTGATATTGTCTTTGTGAACTAACCATTAATCGTCGTCAACCTATTGAATGATAATCATTAGCAACAAAACGAGACGAACAATAGAGAGAAAGTAAGTCAATAAATTATATAAGGTAATTTTTATTGCTACTCAAATACAATATCATTGTATTGAAGAAGAATATCTACGACAAACAAATATTTGAGAAAGAAAAATAATCATCACATAATACCACATATTGTGTAAATGTTCAATTGAAAAATTTGACTAAAAAATCATTGATATTGACATTCTTCAACCATTAACACTTTTTAAACATCAATCTACTTACGATCTAATAAAAGATCAGACATTAAGTGATAAGATTATACGACTCAAAGTCATTGGAATACCAATATTCTATAGTACGAGTGACATTTTCCCGTATTGTCATAGAAGATAAACAATGAGGAATCGATTAAGTGGTATATGAGAAAGTAAAATGAAAATACCTTGATTAGTCAATTCAAGAATGTCAGTGATAGTATGAGAGAGTCTCCTTTTCGTGTTCTCTCAAAAAAAAAGATAGTCTCAGCTCTGAAGATGATGTTATCTATAAATTAAAAATTTCATCTATTGTTTTGTTAGAATACTATGAATCAGAAACCGTCACAGGCATGTTTTTTTTTGTCCTATCCTGTGACTATCTCTGGTATGAATATGAACAATGTTTGTCTTTTTCATTTTAATATATTCTATTCTTGAAAACTTTTAATAATATGAATGTATCACCCAGTCAAGTATAAATCAAGTTATAAAACAAAACATATGAGAAAGGGTGGATGTGCGTGTCTGGGTGTGGGCGTTAGTATTCTACATACCTACACCCTTAATTTAACGTTGAAAATACTATCTTTTTGAAATTCTCGTTTCTTTTTTACGGAAAGCATCGTTTTCAGTAATTATTACTCTTAGAGCTATTTTTTATTGTAGAGGTTTGAGGAAATTTTTCGAACAAAATTTATTCATACTTTTTTTTTTATCGAAAATAACTATATCAGAGAGTATCATTTTAATGGAATATTTGAAAATTTTCATTTCACAAAACTTGATCCGCTGCTCGTATGTAAAATGCTTTTATTATAGAATGTTGCTGCAAGAATGCATGAAGTCGATCATGTATTTGAATTACTCATAAAATACCTATTTCAATAAAGCCTACGACAAAGATAAACTTACACTATTAAAAAGTTTTGATGTTCTACTGATATTATTTTCTTCTTTATGTATTCGTTCATATAACTGTCTTGAATATTTTGTGAAATTTATTTTAATGACTGTATTTTTTAAATGAGATATTACTTTTTCAATAAGTACAATGTCTTTAACACCAATTTCCCTTAAATAATAGATATTTGGTTGATCGAAAAATTCCACCTGCGTCAAAAAGTAGGGTGAAGGTATGAGTATTTGTTTCCCCTTCACTCACATCCAAATCCATGCCCATACTCTTTCTCGATAATCGATATATGTTGAAAGATTCACACCATATTTCGTTGTCGAACGAAACTCGAATTCAATCTATCTAGCTATCTTAAGTGTTTTCTCTATGTAACAGTTTTTATTACAATAACTTTATCCATAGCGATCTGTATATATGTACATTTGCTTTTTCTCTAGTGCACTTATTCAGGGTTTAGTTAGTACCGTGGAAAAAAGATACATCAGATAATGGTTTTTTTCAAAAAAATCAATTTAATATATAAGAGTCTTTTACACTAGCACAAATTTATTTTTTCTTCATCACTGGTATAAGAAGACATTGATGTTATCGGCATAGCCATCACTGATAGGTCCAATACTACGAGAAATTACAACAAACACTGTTACTGAACGAGCCCCGGCAGGCACAAGACCGATCGTTTGCCGAAAGAGAAATGATGTTACATTTTGTCGATCAGTATTGGTAACAGGTCCGATACTGGATACATTTCCTAGTTTTTGATTGTTTTGATCAAAAATAGTTATGAAAACTGTAGCCGTATCATTATGAGTCGAAAAGCCACCAAGCCATGCTGAAAGATTAAATTTCACTGTCTGACTATCGATGAGAGAAGAATCAGCGTAATTAGTCAGATTGATTGTTTGCCATATTGATGTGTTTGCATCTGTGTTTCCATAGAATAAGCAATTACCTGCATTACTGAAGAAACATAATCAATAAAAGAAAGTTCATATTCATCTTACGCAGTCGCAGGAATAGTTTTTACTCTGCTGTAGATGACACTGTTGTTGTAAGCGAGTTGTGTGATTTCTCCATCAGAGTTCCATCCCGTAGGACTAGTGATACTTGAATCCGTTGCACAAGAACCTGTTTCACCATCACCATTGACCACCATATTAGCATAGGATACTAGACAATACAAGATTTATACAAACCCAAAGTAACGTTGCGAAATGTTTTTTTGTAACAATTATTAACAGGGTGGGTGTGTATTTTTTCATCCGCTCTGACCGACACGCCACATCCTCTTTTAACAAGTCCTACAAGACTTTGCAAGCACGTCGTATATAAGACAAACGCTATTCTATCCACGGAAATATTTTTGAATAAAGTTTATTGAAACCGTGGTTTGAAGCGGTTCTTGTGAACCACGAAAGTCAAACCTTTTACTTGGCGTTTTAAAGCCGCTTCAAATGACGGTTTCCTTATGATGCTTTATAAAAGCATATTGAAAAGCTGAATAGACGGTCTGACTTCCGCCAGTTTTTAATCTCGGTACACCGCGACTTTTTATGAACGTACTCTGACTCAGCTTACTTGAGTCATGATGACTAGGCCTACCTGAACTTTTAGTAAAGTCCAGGTAAGCTGCCATTAAAATATATTAGATATAGTTACACGTGGTACCCTTGCCGTTCTCCCACATTGCCTTATACTTTAATACGTATTGCATAAAATGTCTAAACATCAGGATGAAAATTAGATGCACATCAATCTCAAAAACTGCGATTCCTCATATAAATACCGGGGTGTGATAAACCAGGATTCTACGGAAAACTGTCTATCAAATAGCTCATAATGACGAACCTTGACTATGGTTAACTTTATCTCGGTATTTGACACGTTTAAAAACTTGAGAATCAGACAATGTAATACAACTTAGATCACCATCATTTAGAAAATTCCCACTCACCACGCTACTCAGTATCACGGTGTCAAGCAGGACCGTCAAACTATCAAAAATTATCACAAACTCTCACAGCAGATACTGTGTTTATATCAAGATCATCACGATTTGAAAAATTGCTACTCTGCGTAGTATTCTATACTGCGGTTTAAGAATATGATCACTAATCCTAGCAATAGATATCGCTATTTCAATTAGAAAATTCTAACCAGAATATTCAAGCGATATCGATCGTATTTGAAACGGATAGCTGCTGCTATACCCCAAACGTGGTTATCAGTAACCATACTACCATACTTAAAACCGGTAATTACTGCTGTATAACCATCCGCAGCTATCCATTAGCAGACTACGGTATCTAAAGCCGATAATTTTCGTTATACACAAAAACGCAGTTATCAGTTAGTATATCGCAATTTTAGTTTAGAGTGGTGCAATAAAAACTGCGATTCACATCGGTTATCGAAATGACAGCGTGGTATTTTCCCATGAAACTACAGTAAAATTTAAAAAACGCTACTAACGATGATTTTCTTCCATGAATAGTAATGAGATTTGACAACTGATGCTCTTGGGATCAAAGATATTTTAAGTTTCGCTTTGACGTTTCACAATGGCTTAATCAATATTAGTGTCTGTCCGTATTGATGAACAACATATCAAGCTACAGTCCATAAATCAGGGTGAGTTGCATAGGATGCACATACTTTCTCTTTACTCCTCACAAATAAACTGACGGAATTTCTGAATCAGAAGGGATACAATTATGATATGGACGTTAGAAGACTTACTAAAGAGTGTCGTAGTGGTTGTAGAAGTTGTTGTCGTTTTTGTTGTTCCTGTTGTTGATGTTGTTGTTGTTGACGTTGTTGTTGTTGTTGTTGTTGTTGTTGATGTTGTTGTTGTTGTTGTTGATGTTGATGTTGATGTTGATGTTGTTGTTGTTGTTGTTGTTGTTGTTGTTGTTTCTGTTGTTGTTGCTGTTTCGGTTGTTGTTGTTATTTCTATTGTTATTGTTGTTTCTGTTGTTATTGTTGTTTCTGTGGTTGTTCCTATTGTTGTTGTTATTGACTTGGATTTGGTCAATAATTCAATAACAATGACACTAATTGCTGTGCCAACCAATAGAAAAGCCAGTACCGAGAAAAATAAACAACAAGGAGAACATATGCGACAATAACCACCAAAATATCTATAGAAAACGTTAGACGATTATAGAAAGATATATGAATAACTGACTTTCGTTTTTTGTGCTTCTTCTCTCGGCTTTGTATTTGAGGAGTATCTTGCGCAGGAACTATTTGACTTAATCGTCCAAAGGAGTTCTTTCACAGAAAAGAAGTTTAATGCTTGAAATGAAAAATAAACTCACTGATTTGGAATCATGAACTTTGGTAGCACTTAGATCACGTTCATGTGCACTTAATTGAGGTTCACTCTTAGCGGATAACATCTTGAATGGTGTTGTTGATAAATGTGTATTACCTAGCTCTACATCTGAAATGCTGGACTTTTCTTTGCTACATCGATCATTGTTCTGTTCATTGTCGGTTGACTGTGATAATCATTCACATAAAGGAAACAAAATGATATTGTAATTTTAGAAAAATGTCAGAATGTGTCGAGAACACTTCCGATTGATTAGAAATTACAATGGTTTAAAAGCTTTGTCCATAATGAGTAGACAAGAAAAAAAAAGTGGAGGAGGGAAAACTTTCCACATAAAATATTTCTTTCAAAGTTGATTACTTGGCTGTGAATGTGAATGTAGATAGGGATGCTACAGTGACGGTGGCCCACCGGCCCGCTGGTGGCACCAATCCAAATGTACAACGATGGTTTTTATTAGAGATGTACAAATTCCAATTTTGGCCTAAACGGAATTGGAATCGGTTAAAGATGCGAAGTTACTGTTACATAGATAGTTACTTCTCCAGTTACTGAGTGACGAAAAATTCTTGAGTTTGATTCTTTCGTTAAGACAAGATTATATTAGGATAATAACGTTTTTTTTTATAAAGTTTGACAGAATGTATTCAGGGTCGAGGTATTCGAATCTGTAATCACTTTCTCAAAATTTTGTACTCAATTTTTTTGCTTGCAAAATGGTTCTTTGGGAAATTAACGATTTTTTATGAAGTTTTATCAAAGATTTTCAGGGTAGAGATGGCTTGACAGAGAAGTGAAGTACCGAGTCAAACTTTATAAATAATCGTTATGTCCATATAGTAATGTTGCTGTGACGAAAGAATCCAGTGCAAGAATTTTCAATTACTCAGTAACTATCAGCGTAACCATCACTCCTCACCTTTACTCAATTCAATTTCCGATTGATTGAAATTGTGATGCAATGAACCATGATTTTAACTAATTCCGACCGATCTCAAGTCAAAAATCGAAGTTAGAGTCGGCAAATCTCTAGGTGTCAGGATCCATCAGCGACTTGCTAAAATTAGTGTAATTATTGAGTAAAGAATGGCGATGTTGATGATTAAGACAATAAGCGCATACTGAGTACAGCGCAAACTGGTATCTGCTAGTGTAAAGATGTTAGAAAATGCCAAAGTTTGCTAGAATGATGCAGTTTCAGGCATCAGGATTAAAACTGGTGAAGCCAACTAATGCATTCGAAATCTACGGTAATGACTAATTTTTCATTATTCACATATCTTTCTGCTAAGCAAAGCCAGCAGTGCTAAAACACTGGTCATCACCCTTGTTTTTACATGCTCTCATCCAAAAAATCTTTCATGGAAGTTCGTAAAAAGAATGTTATTTCCACAATACAGGTCACTCCTAACCAGAAAATTGACTTCAAAAGTTATCGTTATCATTTATGTGCCGTCGTCACAGAAATCAACTAAAAATCGACCAGTGAACCGCTGCATTGTTACATCCCTAGTTGTAGAGATGACAAAAAACCTACATCCACACCTATGCGCAGTCACACTGAATCCATAGGAATCAAGGAATTTAAGGAAAATCAAGAAACATCAAAGAAAAAAAGCCATTCAAGAAATGTAAAAAAAAAAAGTCAGATATCTATACTTTGTAGCTATCAAGGAATTCGAGATGAAACCAATATACGTCTATAACTCAATCAAATAGATATTTTAGACTACCATAGAATTATGAGTTGTCGGATTCGCGTTCAAATATAATTAATTGAAGATTTAAATGCTTAGCTTCACTTCAAATATAAACGGAAAGAAAATGAGAAGACACTTTCATGTAAGTTTAGAAAAAAAAGAAAAATATATGGGTTAGTTAAATACGTGGTATCATGTTAACTCTTTCTTTTTTTTGGATAAATCTGACGATTCAAAAGGACAATTCGCTCAATAATATCAATCTTATGGCCTCTAAAATACACAGGAGAAGTTTGAACCAAATCCGTCAACGTAATGCATTCGCTATTCTTGTTTATTTGAAAAATTTCTGAAATTTACAACAAAGCGGGAACGATAATGTGATTCATATAAATGCATTAGTCGCGTTGTTGTCCGTTTAGAAATTTAAAAGAACTATTCTTGTAACTGATCGTATAATTCGAAATGATCGGTTTCAGCGTAGCAAAGCCAAAGTTTACATTTCTTCAGTCAAATAAAGAGGAATAAAAATACATATAAATATATTTAAACGTACAGGAGAAGAGAAAAACGTGACATACGCCATTATCAGCACTTGACAGCAGAATAGAAAAAGAAAAGAAGAGAATATATACTCCCAATAATATCAATAAACTACAATAAACAAGTCTTTCTCTTATGGCACGATTATAGTGTGTGCCATAACATTATATATTCAGCAAAGTCAAAAAAATTAGTTTTATAAATCAGCCTGTTGATGTGAAGCCTACAATAGATAGGCTATAAATTGATATAAAATCTATTTCTAAATGTTTCATAGTTCAAGAGAATCAAATTTTTATAAAATGGTCTCTATAGGAACCATAGGGCAAGAAAGGGTTAAGGTATAAATTCTAGACTTCTACATAGATATTAAATCCCTTCGTTTTTTTTGAGTTTCTAACTCCAGTATCGTGAGTAATTTTGAAGTATATAAATATTGTTCTAACAATTAAATACCTTATTTTGGTCTGTACGATGGTTTTCTGCTGATGAATGACATTGATCACGAATAACGAAATTGAGTGTAGTGCTGATGTTTGATGAATGTTGAAGTCTCTGTAGAACATTATCATAGGTATCTTGTCCATTATGATGGTTGAGAAAATATAGAAACTTACATGAGATTGATGAGACTGCGTTCGACGATGAGGACGCAGCCTAATGACACGAGGTCGTTTTACTGAGGAATGACGACTCAATACCATTGTTTTTTATCAATAGATTTCAATTGTATTTTAACTTTCAATTATGAATAACTTTCGAATAGTAATGTGAACATTATCAGGCGAAAAATACTACGAATCGAAAATTATGATTTTGCACACCGTCTTTCGTTGATTAGGTATGAAAATTCAATGCACAAGAGGAAGCTAAAAATCTTCTTGTGTTGCACACACACAAGACCCCTACATAATCACTATTCTACAAAAGGCTTCTTTTTCATATGCATACCCTACAAAATCATTCTTTATTTTTTGCAGTGCAAAATCTCATTAAATTGCAATGGTCATGTGTTGTCATCCGACAGAACTGGAGAAAAAAATATTGCATTGGTAATTCAATTAGTTGCTCGTAATATTTCAAAAAAAGGTCTCAATTCTAATGCAACACAAACTATGAGTGCTTTTGCAAGCTTCGCTTCGTTCAAAATTTTGTTTTTCTTCAATATTTCATTCGGATAATAATAAATCTGTGGTTTCATTCTTATCATTGACGGCAAGACAAATAAAAAGAAGAATTTCATTAACCTACACCCCACAAATGTTTGTATCAGTGGACTCCTACTTACAATGTGAGGGTATAATTAACTACTAGATAAAATCGTTACCTGAGCCCTTCCACTCTGCAAAAAAAAATTTAGGTACCATACGGAACCAAAAATGATTTCGTACTCGCTACGAAACTTTAACAAAGTTTCGAACACAGGTACGTAACTTAAAAAAAGTTTAGTACATGGTATGAAACTTAAAAAAAGGTTTCGAAATTTGCAACGAAATCGAAATCTTTTTGAGGTTTCGTGGCAAACCTATGAAAAATCTTTGTGGACTCTTGACAATCATTTTGAGACTATCTTGGTTTTTTACAAAACCTTTTTAAAGATTTCGAATTCGTTGCAAAAAACGGTTCCGTATGGCACTAATTTTTTTTTCAGTGTAGTAATGTCAAAAGTTAAAGCTACAATTCAAGCGTTGTCAGTCGATTTTGGTATGGTTGTGGATCAAGGCAAGGCATACAGATCTACCTATACTCACTCCCTCATAAACTTAGAATATTAATACTAATAGTCTTATTCTCGATTAAAACAATACGATGAATCAATATGAAACACAATAAAACTTGTTTTGAAATCTAACAAAATCATTCCATTTATCTGATGATGTTACCTGTTACAATAGGTTTCTTAAATAACGAAAGAAAAGATAGCAGCGTATTCGAGTTTTTCTTGCTGACATTTGCACATTGATCTGCACTGACTTTCTAATTAGTTGAACTAACTGATTTATTAGATATTCTATCATATAGAGATAGACTCATGGATAGTTATTAGACAGAAAATAGACATGCGGTTTAATATAGTTGGTATTCGATGGCATCTCAATAACGTTTCTCTTTGTTGTTTTGTAACAATTGCTCAAGTTAGATGAGTTTCAGCGAATTTGTGTTTTTTAAGAATGTACGCGTACTAAATTGTACCCGAGGATTCATTGGGATTTTATGGATAATGCATGGAGAAATTTAGAATATTTTTTACAGAAATTTCCTCTCAAATTGAGAAACTCATTTGAAGAATTAGTTTGAGTGAAAAATGAAAAAATTCTTGCAAATGTTTGCTCCTGAAGTTGTACTGACAAAAAGAACGTTTGTGGTAGATAGAACTTGATAATACTAGTGATAAGTATGAAATTTTGGGATTTCTTATAGAAGAGTAGGGAAGTTACTCGAAAACCTAATAACAAGGAGGAGTCTAAGTGTTTATTAAACAATCATAGTTGGATTGTTCCAGAAACTTCCACTTATAATGGCTTAAAACTATATTGGTTTATTAGTCGTTTACAACTTTATCAAGAATAGAAACAAAGAAAAAGGGTGTAGAGTGTGGGTGTGGATCTCATTGCTCACACCTACCCTTATCCACAGACTCCTTCCTGTGAATTCGCTTATATTGTGGAGTAGAACAATAAATTGTTAAATCTTTCAAAATTAGTGAACCTACACCTATTGTATGTATGAATAGCATGCGCTGGTAGATTTTTCACACACTGACTTTTAAAAAAATCGTAGAAAAATATTTAGAGAGTGAAAAAACAACGGGACAAAATTCAATTGGTGTCCACTTGAAAGTCAAGTCGGGCTGCAGGACTCTATTCTGAGATCATGGGATATAACATCTGTCCATAAGTTAGGCTTCTAATAATCCTTGTGTTTTTTTAATAAATCGGTAACACTTCTAAAAAAAACCAAATTGGACACTTTATTTTTTCATTCTTATAATATATATGATGTATAACAAAAGTATCGACACATACATTGTGATCGAAAGAATCAATACGTGAGAACTAAAAAAAAGTGCTGTCAGAAAAATCATGAACGTCGGCTCGCTCGTCGGTGTTTCACATGAAGATGTCATTGTTCGCATAGTCGCCAATCAAGATGAGTTATTATTGAACGAGCTATGAAAGTTATTGGACAATGTTAATTTTAATATGAGCACTTTAAATAATAACGCGAATACTAATTATCAACAAAATCGATCAGATCTATGTATTGGTTATATTCAATAGTGTATGTAAATCAATAATTTGATCAATTATTACTTGATTCTTTTTTTATATTCATGACTTTGATTGAACAAGAGAATCATTATTTGATGAGATTTCTTCAACTGATCGTTAAAGTTTCGATCGAAATTGTAAAACAATCTTACCACGAATTCATTTTTGTTATCGGTTGTGAATTTTCTACAAGAAATAATATTGCGATATTTAATAGGTATAATTTTTAAATTAGCAAAATATTTACGTGATTAAAAATTCAATGATGATATTTATTTGTATATGTAAGATGATACAAATCTTCATCGCCTCATTACTGATGAAATCATGTCTCTTGATATTGTTATTAACGATAAAATAATATCAGATTATTGCATGAAACATAAATCTGAAATAGTTTCATTGATCTTATCTAAATGTCAACATCTAAATCTTTTAACTATTAATCAGCGATTTAGTGGCTGAAATCTAAAAATTTTAATTTATATTATATCCTCAACAAACTGTGCATCTTCGACTTTGACTAAATTGAGCATATGTGCCAATACGTTCGATGATTATTTTTCTCTTCTTGATGCATATCTAGTCTCTTTGTTCAAATTGATTAGCCATATACTTACAAATTTCGATCCATCATCTAATATGGATCGTGCAGTGAGTAGAATTCATTGTTGTATTTGAACAAAAAAAATGCAATTGAATTTTTGATCGCTTCAACAGATAATATTTCCTAAATTGAAGTGTTTCTCATTAAAAACATTTTGTCAAATCTTGAAGAACTGACGTCACTTCTGTCGGTAAAAGAATCGAACCGACTTATATCACCGATACTGATCTATACGTGATTACATGAATGAAGAGAAAGGAAAATAAATAATTGATTATATAAAAAGTTACTATAGATTAGGTAAATTTTTACTATTAACAAGAATATTATTATAATAGTTTCACAATATTAATCAATTGTTTGAGCCATACTGAATCTAATATTTTCTTTGTCATATTTTACGTACTTACTTTTAAATATGTTAAACAACAATTAGAAGGCAGGTTTTAATAAAGTGCAAGATCTTGGTCAGGATACAAAGCATAGAAAAAATGAACAGATCTTGAAAATTTTTATACTAAGATCTCTAATTAGATTTTGGAATGCAGATGAATCTGATGCGATTGACATACAAAAAATGTGACATATCTTGTTCAAAATCTGATTTCATATCCATATTTAGCATCAAATTCTAGATCAGACGGACTATTTACGGCCGTCCATAAATGGATCCTAGTGGTTCTTTTTCGACCCTATATACAATTCAACCAAGATCTAATTACAAATCTTAATACAAGATGTTTTACTAGAATAACGAATTCAACAGAAAACATTGTCAGTTTTTGATGAGCTATTATCTCAAATTAAACTCGACTGAAAAGTTTAATGTGAATGCTAGAAGATAGAAAATTTGATGTAGAATTTATTGATATGTTCTTTTTTAAATAAGCATTTTTCGTTCCATTTATTCTTTTAGACATACAGTCAAAGTTTTGTAGAAAGCTTTACTATTCAAAAAAATCGCATATAAAATATACCTTAACTATCAATTGTTGCCATCTTTTCATGTCAAAAAGAATATTTCAAGTTCATTAGCGATTAGAAAAAGAAGTACGTTCTGTAGGACTTGAAATTCGGCATCTATTTATACAAAAACTTTTATTTTTCTTAGGCCAATTTTTGAAGGCATTGGTGAATAATAGATACATGAAAGAATTCTACATATCTTTGTATAGAAGAGAAAATTTTGAACTCAACCTAACTTAGCAAAAATTGATTTTTACCCGTATCGGGTGTTTTAGTTGAGTAATTAATGCTATAAAGGAACGACAAATGTTGATTTGAAAGAAAACATAGTAATAAACTTTATACATAGTTCTTTATCTTTTAACATTAGAATCAAACTTTCTAGAGAAGTCTAACTTGATAAAAACAGTCTATGAAAAATCGGCAACATTCACTGTTAAAATCAATTACAAATATTTTTTTGCTCATTATCATCAGGATTTATTGTATATTCATCAAATTTTTACATTATGAATATGGTAATGTTCGTCATATAGAACAAATTAATATTGATGTTTTTCATGCAGAAGAAAAATATCAATTTGAATAATGTCAATATTTCTCATGAAGAATAACATAATGATTAAAATAATATTGATGTCCCCTCGAGCACACAAATATTGACATTATTCGAATTAGTATTTTCATTTGAATCAAAAACATTAATATTATTTTATTTGTCATTACGAACATTATCATATTCATAATGCAAAAATTTTATGAATATAGAAAGATTTCTAATGATTATATATTCCAATACATTATAATGAATAAGATATAAATTCGATAATATCACAATTCTGTTGTGTAATGAAGAGAA